GAACCTCCACACTGTTTTCCAGAGGGGCTGTACCAGTTTACATTCCCACCAACAGTGCAGGAGGGTGCCCGTTTCTCCACATCCTCGCCAGCATCTAGAGTTCTCTGATTTGCTCATTTTAGCCACTCTGACTGGCGTCAGGTGGTATCTCAGTGTGGCCTAACCACGCTTTCTTGTGGTCACTGTCGGGCTCCCACAGACTCAGGCTTGTAAAGAGTAGGGAACAGCATTCCAAGTAGAGGGAAGAGCACGTATGAGGCGCCAAGGCAAGATCAAGCTTGGTGGGCTCAAGGATCAGCCACTGGGGCAGGCAGGGAGAGTTGCCAGCGGGGAGGTGGAGAGAGGGACCTGCCCGGGCCACACGGGGCCTGGGACCCATGGGGAGGAGTTTGGGGGTTTCTGCCCAAGAGGGCTTGAAAGGCGGTGGAATGATACATGTTTTCAAAAGTTCAGTCTGGGTGCTGGGTAGAGGAGGGCTTAGGGGTCAAGCATGGAAGCGAGAGCAGGGAAGAAGCTGTCCAGGGCTGGAGGTGGTGCGGGCTGGGGATTGGTGGGGCCAGGGTGGAGGGAGGTAGATCCAGGATGGAACTTGAGAGTGGAATGGACAAGACAAGCTGATGGAGGGTTTGTGGGATGAGGGAAGTGGAAGCCAAGGATGCCTCCGAGGGTGAAATGGAGCCATCTCACTTTCTGGAAGGCAGGGGTTCACAGCCAGGGGTGACTTTGGCCCACTGGGAATATATGGCAATGGAGATATTTTTGATTCATGGCAGAGGGAGGTGGGCAGTAAGAGGGGGAGCTATGGATGGTGTTTAGAGAATAGAGGTCTGGGATGCTGCTAAACGCCCCACAGGACAGTCCCCAACAACAACAAATTAGCCCCAAATCATTGAGAAACTACTCGAAGGGCCTAGAGTCTCCCACTCCCTGTCAGCAGGACCTGCCTATTTGGTCCATGCTTGAGGGAAGAAAAATATGATAATAAAATGAGCATGGGGATCATGCCAAGCAGTGCACAAGCTTGAAAGGATGAAGTCCTCACGACACCCTTAGAAGAAGGTACACTCTGAGCAGTCCTGTTTTCCAGGTTAGGAAGCTTATGCTCAGAGAGGTTAAGTGATGCATCCAAGGACACACAGACAATAAGCAGAACTGGGGCTCAAACCCAAGTCTGCTTGACTCTAAGCTCCTATTTGTCCCTCTTGAGTCCCTGCCTTCTTGCTTATCGCCTCGCTGGCCCGCCAGCCCTCCCCATCCTTTAATTCTTTCCCCTCCAGCCCATCCAGGTCCCTGTCCACTCTTGCGTGGCTCCAACTTGCTCACATATGGCCTCACTCCTCTCCTTCCCAGGCTGAGCGAGACGAGGCTGTCCCCAAGGAGCCCGCTCTTGCTGGCCGACCTCTTCAGCCTGTGCCCACGGGTCCAGAAGGTGGATCTCAGGTGGGCATTGCCCTGGGACAACCGGATCTAATCTTGGAGGGTTGTGCCTAGGGTCAGTGTGTGGGGGTTGGATGGAGACAGTAAACCCCAAGTCAGAGGTGTGGCTTCTGGAGGAAGGGGTACCTGCCCCAGGAGGCATCGTGAGCTGTAGCCAAGGGTGGCTGACTCAGGTGCTGTCTGTTTCAGGTCCCTGTATCACACAACCCTGCACTTCAGCTCTAGCGAGGAGCAGAAAGGCAAGCACTGTGGGTAAGTCCCTGGAATTGTGCCCTGGCAGCTGGTAGGTATTGGGGACAAGTACATCTGCCCCCCGGGTACCCGAACTGAGTACAGATTGCCTACCCAAAAGGTCTCTCTGCAAGGGGGCTTCTTTCCCTCCGACAGAAAGAAGCAGAGGTCCAGAGAGGATCAGGCTTTATCAAAGGCAAATTAGGAGTACCTGTCAGACCACACCAGAGCTGTGGGGCCTGGTCCAAGGAAAAGGACTTCACAACCTGCCCACCAGTCTTTAAATCGCAGCCCCACGGGGCCTGATGCCTTGGGCAAGCCCCTTAACCTCTGTGATGCCCGGCTTCCGCAGCTGCAAAGGGGGCTGCTGTGTTGCAGGGTGTTTGCAAGGATTAACTGAGACAGGGTGTAAAGCACGAGGCACTTACAGGTGGAAGCGTCCTTCCCCTGCTGACCCCCGGGCCAGTGCTCTGTGGCTGCCTGCATAGGAGGGAGGAGGTGCTACACCGGAGGCAGGATGGTGAGGCAGAGGGCAGCCTTCAAACGCAGAAACTATGTTTCTGGTAGCTGATGGCACTGGCTCTCCAAGAGACCTTGGACCAGACCCTTCTCCTGTGGGCTCTAGCCTCCTTGCCTGTGAAGTGACAATAAATAGAATTGTGATACGTTGACCACCTGCAGGGTGCTATTCTAGAGCCTTTTCACATTACTTCCCTATAAGCCTCAGAGCTGTGGTCGCCTGGCAGTAAGGGGGCAGGTGAGATTCGAACCTGGGGAGTTCAACAGTGCTCCTAGCCCAGCAATGAACAGGTTTTTCCTGTAAAGAGTTAGACTGTAAAGACTTTGGGTTTCTGCAGGCCACACGATCTCTGCGACAGCTACTCAACGCGGCCTTTGTAGCTGGAAAGCCGCAGTGATGATACATAAGCCGGGGCACAAGCCTGCAGGCCGGTAAATCTCCGCTATCATTTATTCACCCTGAGGCTCGCGTTTCATATACTTTGTACGTGTCAGGAAATGCTCTTCTTTTCGCTTTTTTTTTCTCAACCGTTTGAAAATGGAAAAATTATCCTTAGCTTGCAATATCCGGGTGGCCTTGGGCCGTGGTTTTCCATGTCCTGTCCTAGCCTAACACTACCCTGACTTCTAGAATGCCTTGATAGCTTCTGAGTCAGCAGTTTCCAAAACGTAGGACAGAGATCAGGATGGGATGGTTTTTTAGAAGTTTGCGCAGATAGTCGAGTTGGTCTTCGACACTGAGCCCCTGAGCGAGGTCACTATTCCCTTTCTGATTCTCGATCTGATTAAGGCCAAGAGGAAGTCAAGGTTGGGTGGTGGTGTGACTTTAGCACGACTCTAATGCTTGCTGAGCCCCCTTTTTTAATAAAGAGAGAGAGCCCTCGTCCAGGAAATTCCGGCTCAAATTAAATGATGATATTTTGCTCTCATTTCATACATTCTTGTGCTTATGGTCTGTTTATGGCACCACATGTCACTTTTCCATTTGAGTTTCCTTTTACAATAAAGGCATCCAGTCACAGAAGGAGCTGATTTCAAAATAGGAAGTGAATAATAGTGTAAGAAGGAATTTAGGAACAGGAAAAAGGTCACGAAGGGCAGGAACAGTGATAAAAATTTGAGATATTGATTTTAGGTACTTTGTGATTTTAAGATTTTTCCTCCTTTTTTTTTTTTTTTAAGTTGCTGGCTAGTTATAGAGCCTTCATTTACTTTTTTGTATAGTCTTATTATTTATTTATTTATTTGTTTTTTCTTAAAGTGCAGCTGAACTGCAGTGTTGTGTTAGTTTCAGATGTACAACCTAGTGATTCAACAACTCTGCATATTAGGCAGCACTCCTCATCATAAGTACCATTATGACTTTATTACAACATTACTAACTATATTCCCTATGCTGTACTTTTCATCCCCCCCCTTGACTTGTTTATTTTAATAACTGGGAGTTTGTACCTCTGAATTCCCTTCACCTTAATTCCAGTATCAAAGGCAAGAGCAGAGGTTCTTCGCCCCTGTCTCCCCCCACCCCACCCTGTATGTCAGGTCATTAACAGGACCCCAAGAGCTGTATGTAGCTCTCCAACTTGAGCTTGAATCAGAACCACCCGGGAATCCTTGCCTCTGTGGTTTCTGATTCAGTGGGTCTGGACTGGGTCCCCAGAACTTGCATCTGAACAAGTTCCCAAGTGTTGCAGGTGTGGCTGGTCAGGGGCCACACTCTGAGAACCACCTCCCAGAGGGAGCCTGTGGGCACCAGGTGGGATCTGCTGCGGGGGAGGTGGAAGTGGTAGATGCTGGACAGTTCCAGAGAATCCGACCTTGGGTGGGGCCCCACCCAGGATGAGCCAGGGCAGAGCAGGTGTGAGCAGCTCAGCGCCCCTTCCTCAGGCCTGTTCCCCCCCCTCCAGCAGGTTCACGGACTGTGGCCTCAGTCAGGATCATGTGGAGCCGCTGTGCTGGCTGCTGAGCAAATGTGAAGACCTCAGCCAGCTGGAGTAAGTGGGGGGTGGGCGCGGAGGGAGAGGAGCATGGGAGCACATGCCTGGGCGGCACTAAAGCTCTGTGTGTGTGTGTGTGTGTGTGTGTGTGTGTGCGCGCGCGCGCACGCACGCATGCATTCAACACCTCTCAGGGACAGCTAACAGGGATGCCTGGGACACATCCTGGGTCACGTTCATTACATCTCCCTATGCCCATTTCATCTCTTCCACCCCCCACTCTTGCCAAGGTGGAGCTAGTTGAGCGTGTGCCCCTTGATCTAATTTGGGGGCTCTTCAGTAAAGGGTTTTAAGAGCCCCTCGGCCTCATGATGATGAAGACATTCGAGTTCTGCTGGCAGATGGGAACCAAAATGAAGGATCCCTTGGTCTGCCTGGCAGGTGGTTAAAAGTACCAAATGCTCAGCCTGAGGAGGGCCCGGGAGCAGCTGGGATATAGCCTGTTTTGGGTGCCCAAATAGCACAGCTGCCGAATGGGTAGAAAAATAAAAATAGATAGCCACCTCCTGAGCACTTTCTCCACTGGGCTAAGTGCTTTATATGTTCTTTTTACCCTTCCAAAACCCTAGGTACTATTGTCCCCATTTTATAGATGAGAGAACCGAGGTGCAGGGAGGATTTAAGAACTTGCCCAAGGTCACGTAGCTAGGATGATGCAGTCTTTGCTAACAACCGCTAGGCGTTCAGCTTAGGACCAGTGGGACGTAAGAGCTGTCTATAAGCTAGCATGTGTGCACGTGTGCGCACACACACGTGCACACGCGCACACATACACACTTTAAATTCCTATTGCCATGTGGCCTAGAAGAGAAACGGACATCATGTATTAGATAAACCAGCAGTACATCTTTGAATTTTTCTGTTTTTCATTGTAGAGGGAAGTTTTTCTAATTGTAAAGATTCCTTTATCCAGTGGCTTTATGAGACAAACTGATTTGTAATTTTTAAAGTCACTCTGAAAAAGACAGGCCTCAAAAGCATCTTCATCAGGGACAAAATGAGTTCAAAGATGCAAGACAAAAATCAGATATTCCAGGCGTGCTGATTATACCATTCCTGAAAGTGTAGCTAAAACCATAGGATGCTACAACGAGGGGAAATAGAGTATTCAAGTGCAATTTCCGATATTGCGTTCCCGAATTAAAAGAAGAAATCTCCTGGGTGAACGCTGCCTCCAAACATCTTTCTTTTTCCTGACTTTACTCTTGTTCAAAAGTTGTGGTTCTCAGATGTGGGCCAAGGGCACGGTAAAGGCAAATTGGTTTTTCTCTCACTCCGGGGAGCCTGCTGGAGGCTTGGGGGCCCCAGGGGTGGGCAGCAGGTACCGCAGGGGTAGGTGAGGACTGGGTCGCCTGCGGTGCTGGTCAGGGGGTGGTGGTGGGCAGTGCAGGAGCTGTCGTGTGCTGGGCCGTCGTGCAAGGCGTGCCGGAGATGGTGGTGCGATGGGGGCGGGCGTGTCGCTGTCCAGGCACAGCGACAGCATGCATGATGATGACGTTGGCACGGAAGCAGTCCCAGGCAGGTTGGGCAGCGATGGTAACTATGAAGAAAAGGCTCCGGCAGAGAGGGCGTGTCCGCCCGCCACGAACTTCTTCCTACCTCTCGCAGCCTCTCGGCAAACCTGCTGGGTGATGACGGGCTCAAGTGCCTCCTGCAATGTCTGTCTCAGTTGCGCATCTCCGGCTCTCTTGAGTAAGTGATGAGCAGCCTGGGGAGAGCCCCCCACACGCTCTTCTCTCCCTCATTGCCCACTGTAGGCAGAGCCCCCATCAGGCATCCCAGAGAAGCTGTAACTAACGTGTGGTGACCCAAGCTGACTTTGGGACAGGGAAGTGACAGTTTATCTCTTAACCAGCTGATGCAGGACCCCAGCCGTCCCAGCTCCTGGTCCATCCTGTCCCTGAATGCTAAATCTAAGGGACACAGATTTGGAGATGTCCCCACAGCAGGGAGGGTCCCTAGGAAGCCACCCGCACTCTCAGCCGGTCCCCCCAGTGACCCGGCAGACTGGTGACCAGAACCCAGATACAGCAGGTCGCTAGGCACCTCAGCTGGGCTCTGGGTGTCCCTGAGTCCCCGGGGCTGGGGCTGTCAACCTGGCCTCATCAACCCTGTCTCAGATGCCAAGAACCCTGTCTCAGCGCCTGCTCCTGAGGGCTCGGGGCCCCATGCCTGTCCCGCTGGGTACAGTACCCCTCTGGCCTCTCTCTCTCAGACCTCAGCGTCTGCACCTGGAGAACAGACACTTAAACATTGAGGACCCTCCTCCCGGAGATGACAGCTGGAAGGGAGGAGCCGGGGGCTGGGCAGGGCTGCCCTGAGGTGCGCCCCCACCCCCCATCCCGAGCCTCGTTTTTCTTCCAGTCTGAGTCACAACAGCATCTCCGTGGAAGGTGCTCTGTGCCTGGTGAAGGCTCTCCCCTCCTGCCCACACGTCCGGGAGGCCTCCGTGAAGTAAGACACTGGTGTCACTTGCCGATGGCGGGGAGAAGCAAGACTCCCACACTTAGCAGCTCTGTCGTGTGACTTGGGGCGACTTGCACCCCTGGAAGGGGGATCCTAGTTTCTGTCCTCTGAGGCCTGCATGACATAGGGACCAGGGAGGTCACAGGGTGGGGAAGGCCAGGCTCCAGTGTCCTCACAGAACGGGTTGGGGGTCTCCTCTGGTCTCTCCTGTGGCCCCCACCCTGCCCTGCCCCTGCGGAACCAGCCCCCTCCCTTTGTGCACCTCTGATGTCTGGGTCTCAGGATGCTGGGCCTCCCCACGCCCTTCTCTCTGCAGCCTGGGCTCTGAGCAGAGCTTCTGGGTCCACTTCTCCCGACAGGAGGAGGCTGAGAAGACGCTAAGGTAACTCGGGGGCTGGGGTGAGGGCACAGGGGAGGGAATGGGGAAGAAGAGGCCGAGCCTGTGGCAGCCCCCGTGCCTCCTTCTTCAGCGGGCCTTCTCCTTCAGACGCCCAGCCTCATGCTCACGGCTTGGGTCTGCCTCCCCCAGGACCCCCCCCCCGCTCCGGTCCTGGGGGCCAGGCCTTCATGTTGTATCTGTGCCTCTTGGCCACGTCTTAAGTCTGGAAGCTTCTGGGTGTCATGGTTAAGAGCTCAGACTCTGGGGGCGCCTGAGGGTAAATCCCAGCTCCACCACTTATCAGCTAGGTGACCTTGAACCTGTGACTTAACCCTCTCTGTGTTTCAGTTCCTCATCTGTAGGATGGGAATAATAGTAAGACTGACCCCTTAGCGTTATTGTGAGGACTGAGTGAGTTGATATGTGTTAAGTGCTTGGAAAAGGCCTGGCTCACTGAGTGCTGTATCAGTCGTTGTTATTAATTACCGACCAGTAGCCTCGGGCTCCCTCCCTCTCGGCCTCACCACCGCTGTCTTGGGTCACTTCCTCCATGTGTCTTTCTTCAGCTGTGGTTGTGGCCTCTGAACCGGTCCACGGCCTCTGGCCATGCCTCCCCTGCCCCCAAATCCACTCACTTCGCAGCAGCCAGAGGGACCTCCTGGCCCACCTCGGACTATGCCGGTCCTCCGTGCTGAGCCCTTCGTGGCTCCCGGTGCCTCTACAATAAGGTTCCCGTTCTTCAGCGTGGCCTTCTCCTCACAGTCTCATCGAGCTGCACTTCCGATTGTGTTCCTCCTCACCTCCAACATCACACTCATATACCTCACACTCACACCACACCCACACCCATCCCCCCACACACACCGTACCACACACACACACACACACACAGACAACACACCCCACACTCGCACCACACACACACACACACACACCGTACCACACACACACAGAGACAACACACCCCACACTCACACTACACTCACACATACACTGCACCACACCCACCCCCCCCACATCCCACACTCACACCCCACACATACACACACCCCACACTCATACCCCTCCACACCCTACACTCACACCACACTCACACATACACTGTACCACACCCACACCCCCCTACACCCCACACTCACACCACACTCACACTTACACCGTACCACACCCACACCCCCCTACACCCCACACTCACACCACACAAACACACACACACTATACTACACACACACATCCACACACCGTACCACACACATCCACACACACACTGTACCACACCCCACACACACACACCCCACACTCACACCACACACACACACACACACACACACACACTGTACCACACACACACATCCACACACCGTACCACACACATACACACACACACCGTACCACACACACACACACGCACAGACAACACACAGAGAACACACCCCATACTCACACCACACATATACACACCCACACGGCGGTAGGTTTGGGGCAGGCTGACCGGGCCTGAGACCTCACCGCCCCCCGGCTGTGCGTCCCTGGGTTAGTCACTGTCTCCGTGGGTACATGATGCGGTGGGAATGCCAGGAGGTGCTGCGTGTAGGGCGAGCTCAGCAGACGTACCCAGAGGCGGGCACACGGCCTGGCCTATCGTCTGGGCTCAGTGAGGGACGCTCCTGGCCCTCTCTCGGCGGGGTTGGGGTGGGGGTGGTCATCCCTCCTGGGAGACCAAGAGCTGCCCCTTGGGCCTGTGGTCAGGCCTTTGCACTCAGAGCCGGGGGCAGATGGCAGCTCCGATGCCTCACCCAGCCCTGCCCCTTCCCTCTGCCCGCAGGCTGAGCCAGTGCGGTTTCAGGCCAGAGCACGTGCCCAGGCTGGCTGCCAGCCTGAACCGGGCCCAGGGGCCGACGGCGCTCACGTGAGTGACCTGAGTGACCGGGCACGAGGGCAGCGGGGGGGGGGGGGCGGGGGCTCCTTGTGAGAGCCACCCCGGTAACGGACCCCATCCCCAGGCTGGCCCAGTGCTGCCTGTGCCTGGAGCAGCTGACCGTCCTCCTGAGTCGGCTGTGGCGGCCGCTGGGGCTGTTGAATCTCAGGTATTGTCCAACGGGGTCAGGGTGGGTAATGGAGTATGGGTCTCCCCCACCCCCGCCCCTGCTCCCCGAGCATGGCCCCGGCCATCTCCTGCACCCAAACCCTGCCACTTGGCCCCTGCTGGTGTTTCCAGAAACCCCCTCAGCTCGCAGAGAAGCCACCCTCCTTGAGGTAGGGCCTGTGCTTCAAGATGTAAGAAAAACAGGAAATGCCGAAGGACACCCAGCTGAGGTCAAAAGCAATATATAACAGGCTGCCTGGGTGGCTCAGTCGGTTAGGCTTCTGACTCCGGCTCAGGTCATGATCCCACAGTCTGTGGGTTTGAGCCCCGCGTGGGGCTCTGTGCTGACAGCTCAGAGCCTGCAGCCTGCTTCTGATTCGTGTCTCCCTCTTTCTCTCTGCCCCTTCCCTATTCTCTCCCTCTCAAAAATAAACATTAAAAATATATGTATATATAACAAGTTTCATGTGTGCATGTTCACTATGGCCATTATAAAACTTTCATAGAAACATTGAAGACACTAAAAAGATGAATTTGGAAGACCCATATTCTTATTACCTGGGTGTGACAGATGTTCAGGGTTCTTTATATTTGCTTCATATTTTAATATTTTTTTGGCTACAGTGTTTTCAAATAAGCTATAGATCTCATAAAATATTGCTTCTAAATATTTCGTCATGAATCTTTAAATATAAGGACCTTTTCTACATAATCACGGTTGATTTAGGACACCCAGGAAAATCGGTAGCAGTTCCGAGTGTCGTGATTACCCAATCCAGTCTAAAAATTACCATCCACCCCAAACGGGGCAGCTGGCTCGTTGGACCCAGGATCCAGGCAGGGTCCATGTTGGCATGAAGTGGCTTTTAAGATTCTTTTTTTTTTTTTTGTAATTTTTTAATGTTTATTTATTTTTGAGAGATAAGAGCATGAGTGGGAGAGGGGCAGAGAGAGCGGGAGACACAGAATCCAAAGCAGGCTCCAGGCTCTGAGCTGTCAGCACAGAGCCCATTGCAGGGCTTGAACTCACAAACCGGAAGATCATGACCTGGGCTGAAGTCGGATGTTTAACTGACTGAGCCCCCCAGGCAGCCCCATGAATCTCCTTCCTTTTAAAGGCTGACTGCCATTCCACTGTAGATAGACACCACATTCTGTTCATCTGTCCATTCATCCGTCTGTGGGCACTTGGGCTGTTCCACCTTTTGGCCACAGCAAGTGTGGCCAATACAGTGACTGTATTAGTCACTGTGAACATGAGCGTACAAATCTCTCTTTGTATCTCTGCTTTCAATTCTTTTGGGTATATACCCAGAATTCCTGGATCACCCAAAATAATGCTTTAAATGAAAACTTTCCATTCCCTAAAAATAACACATAGTCGTAGAGATTTGTGGAAAATCCAGATGAACATAAGAAAATAGTACTTTGAAAAAAAAAATTCAACATAACTTCAAAAGCAGAAATATTTTAAACAACTCTTTTTTTCCTGCTTCTAAATTAATGCATGCACATTGTAGAAAGTCTGGAAAATATTGGAAACTAAGGAAAGAGGGGAAAAACCATTTGTGAGAATTCTACCATCTAAACAACCAGCATTAGCGCTTAGTATATTTTTCTCGTATCTCTGTCTCCCTGTTTCTCTCTGTGTTTTCTTCCCTCTCATAGTTTTCCTTTTTAAATTTTTTTCTAAATGTTTGTTTATTTTTGAGAGAGAGAGAGCAGAGGAGGGGCAGAGAGACAGAGAGACACAGAATCCAAAGCAGGCTCCAGGCTCTGAACTGTCAGCACAGAGCCCGATGCAGGGCTTGAACTCACGAGCTCCGAGATCATGACCCAAGCTGAGGTCAGATGCTTAACTGACTGAGCCACCCAGGCGCCCCTTTCTTATTTAAATACAAATTGGGATGTTTTATATACAACTTTATTGCTTTATCTTTGTCACATAATGCTATGTCGGCCTTTCCTTACATCTAAAACTATTGTTTAAAAAAAGAATATTTTCTGTTAGGATGGTTACAGTAACTGTCAGAACAAGGATGATGTTAATGATGTTACACTTGATTTATGCTTGTGCTTGGTTGTGTAATCTTAATAGTTTTTAAATAGGCAAAACCAAAAACAGCCTCCGAGCCCTCCTTGGCCCTCCCCCACTTCCCCGGCTCGGCCTGGGGGACCTTTATCCCCCTCTGCTTCTGCGACAGGGTCGAGGAGCCGTGGGTGGGCAAAGTCGGGGTCCTCACGCTGCTAGAAGTCTGCACCCAGGCCTCAGGCAACATCACTGAACTAAGGTGAGTCTGGAGAGGAGGCCACTCTGAATTCTTCATCTTTTTTTAAAAAAAAATTTTAATGTTTTTATTTATTTCTGAGAGAGAGAGAGAGAGCAGGGGAGGGTCAAAGAGAGAGGGAGACACAGAATCTGAAACAGGCTCCAGGCTCTGAGCTAGCTGTCAGCACAGAGCCCGATGCGGGGCCGAACCCACGAACCGTGAGATTGTGATCTGAGCCAAAGTCGGACACTCAACCGACTGAGCCACCCAGGCGCCCCTGAATTCTTCATCTTTTCAAGACCATTGGGACCATCCCTCTCCTAGACATCAAGTCTCTTGGCCCTCGTGAGTGGGGGGAGGGGGTAATAGCTGTGTCACTAGCAAATTCTCTGCATCTCCAAGATGGCAGGAGCTACACACACTTGTCATGATTTATGCAGTAATGAGGCCGCAGTGCCAGAAAGAGGGAGGCAGTGGCAGATGCAGGATGCGGAGCTCTTGGATCCCAGTGATGCACAGCCCGGGGGTCCACACTGGCTGCCTGGAGCTGGCCCCTGATTACAGTAACACGCACTGTGGCTCTATGACCAGAGGTCACAGAGATGACGCGGAGCAGCTAAGGGCAAAGGCTGTGGGGTCCCGCTGACCCACGTCTGATCCCTACCGGGTTTGGGAGCTTGGAGTCAGGAGACTGGCAGCCTCGGTCCCGAGCTCAGCCTGCACAGGAAACCGCTGCGACCCTCACAGTGGCTACGTGTTCCCTCTGCAGCATTTCCAAGAGCCAGCAGCAGCTCTGTCTCCAGCTGGAGTTTCCCCATAAGGAGAACCCGGAGGCCGTGGCCCTCAGGTGGGACCTAGTACCTGGACCCCCAGAGGAGTAGCTGGTGGTGGGGTAGGGGCAGGGCACTGCTGCTTCTGATCAATATTTCTCATGCGTTGCTCAGAGTCCTTTGATATCCAAAGTGTCTAGGTGGCCAATGAAATCTGGCCTAACCTGCCTCTCCATGCTCTCCATCCCCACCCCAAATTATAGTCTCAGCTCCAGTCATCCCTACCATCTTTCAGTTCCTTCAACACCATCTTGCTCCCTTTGACCTCAGGGCCTTTGCACAGGCTGTTCCTGGACCAGTATGTTCTCTCTTCCCCTCCCCTCCTCCCTCCTTATTCACCTGGCTAACCGCCCCCCTACTTCTCCAGGTCTCAGCTTAAATGCCACCACTTCAGGAAGGTCCCTCTGAACCCCCAGAGGTAATCAGGTTCTCCCGTGATCCGCTCTTACAGATGGCTTGGATTCACAGCACCCCTAATTCATGCAGCACATTTTGGAAACCAAAATGTCATCCCTTTTGGGTGAATGCAGCCCTGCATGTGTACATTCTGGGGAATAGACCTTAGCTGGAGCCCAGCCCAACTCACCTTCTTGGCTGGGTCCCCTTGTACAGTGAACAACCTGCACAGCCATACCTGCTGCCCCATCTGGACCTCTCCTTCATAACCCTTTGCATAAATGAATAGAAAGTTGTGGGACTTTATTTCATTAGCATTTACTCATCCCTAAAACATAAGCTCCTTGTAGGCAGGCACTGAGTCACCCAGGTGTTCAGATCCTGCTGCCTCCCCACCTACCTCCAGATTGGCTCATTGTGACCTTGGGACCCAGCACAACCTTCTTGTCTGCCAGCTGATGGAGACGTGTGCCAGGCTGCGGCAGCTCAGGTCAGAACCCGGAAACACCTCCTAGGGTCCCGAGGCCTCTGGTCACCCCCAGGACCCACCCCAGGCCACATGGGAGAGGCCGGCCGGTCCGGGATGGGAATGAGCAGGGCCTGGGGCCTCACTGCTTTCTGTGGCTTTCTTGCTTCCCTGAGCAGGAGAGGATCACCCTTGGCCAGTGGGGGGGAGCCTAAGCCACCCCACTGGGAGCTCTCGGGTGGTTCTCTCCCGCCTCTTGGCCTCCCAGCCCTGCGTGACGGATGCTCCCTGAGGGCCATCCCACCTGAAAGCCTCCGGAATATGCTTTTGGGCCTTTTCAGCTTGTCCCAGGTGAGCCTCTGCGACACCAGCTCCCTGCTGCTGCAGAGTCTCCTGCCGGCCCTCTCTGAGCTGAAGACATTCCGGTACGCAGACAGATGTTCACCCGCCCCCACACTCCCTGCCCTCCCCAGCCCTGGGCTTAGCGGCGCCAACTGTGTGGCCCCACTCGGGGCGGGACCACTCAGTGGCCCTGGGAATGAAGTCAGGGTGTGTGGTCATCCACATGCCACATGGCAGAGAATGATTTCCTCGTCAGTGCTTTTGCGTTTTCTTCTTTTTTTTTCTTTTTACTATTTGAAATAATTGCAAACTAATAGAAGACCCAGAAGCAGTTCCATATGCCATTTTCCCAAATTCACCCCTTGTTTTGTAATGTTTTTTATTTATTTTTGAGAGAGAGAGACAGAGCGAGCAGCAGAGGGTCAGAGAGAGAGGGAGATAAAGAATCTGAAGCCTTGTTGATATTTTTTCACCTTTGCTCTTTTTCCCTTCCTCCCTCTTTCCTCACCCCTCCTCTCTGCTCTTCTCTCTCCCTCTCTCTTTTTCTGAGCCATTTGAAATTAGTGGCATACACATGCCCCTTCCCCCCTTACTATTTCAGGGAATTTCCTAAGAACAAGAACATTCTCTCCCATGATCCAATAAAAGCATAAAATGGAGGAAATGTAACATTGTTACAGTTACATGATGGTTATCAAAACTACCGTTTATGTGCCATTTTTCCAAATGTGCCCATAATGTTTGTTGCATTCCCTCCCCCTCCCCCACCCCAAGTTCTAAATTCCACCTAGGATCACACACTGCACTTAGTTGTTATTTGTCAACACTAGGTGACAATCTGGAATGTTCCTTAGCTCCTCTTCGTCTTGCATGATATTGTCATGACATTTACATGCCAGTGATTTTGTAAAACGTCCTTCTGTTTGGCTTTGATGTTTCCTCATGTTTAGATTTAGGTTCTGCCTGTGGAACAGAAATATCACAGAGGTGATGTTGTGTTTTTCCCTAGAGGCACACGTTGTTTCTTTGTCCCCTGACGAGTGAGGGGTAGCTGTGATCACCCAGTTAAGGTGGCGTCTGCCAGGTTTCTTCCCTTGCAAAGCGACTGTTTTCCCTTTCTAATTAACCCCTATCTTGTAGGGAGATACTTTAAGACTATGTAAACATCCTGTCCTTCTTCACATTTTCATCTATGAATTTCAGCCTCCATTGATAATTCTTGCCTGCATCAAATATCAGTATGTTGAGGGGCGTCTGGGTGGCTCAGTGGGTTAAGCATCCTACTTCAGCTCAGGTCATGATCTCACAATTCATTGGGCTCTCCCATGATCTCCCAACCCGCATTGGGCTCTGTGTTGACCGCACGGAGCCTGGAGCCTGCTTCGGATTCTGTGTCTCCCTCTCCTCTCTGCCTTCCTCTGCTCTCTGCCTCTCAAAAATAAATACATGTTTAAAAATTTTTTTTAATCACACTTAAAAATCTATTATCAGTCTGATGGTTGGAAAATGGAGCTTTTCTAACTTTTCATTCTCTTTGAATCCAACTGATTGCACCAAGGCGGTGTCCGTTTGGGTATCTTTAACACCTCTCCAATACTTGCTACTCGCTTTTGTTGTTGAAACAAAGGTGCAGAGCCCATGGTCAAAGACAGTAGCTAGCTAGACTTTGTGGCATCCGTGTGAAGTTGCTACCTGAATATAGTTTAGGGAAATACTCTAGTCCGTGCTCCTGCCTCCCAGCTATATCTCAGATTAATGATTCCGTGGCAGGGGAGAGTTATGAAGGGAAGAAGGGGCCCCTTTCCCCCCGCCTCACCCCTCCTCCTTGCTCTCTGCTACCAGCATTCAGGGTTCTCAAGACTGAGAGCCCCTACCTGACCTGCTGCCCTTTGACCCCCACCAGGCTGACCTGCAGCTGTGTGAGCTCCGAGGGCCTGTCCCACCTGACATCTGGTCTGAGCCACTGCCTCTACCTGGAGGAGCTGGAGTGAGTCACGTGGCGGGGGGGTGGGGGGGGCAGCGGAGGGGGAAGGGATGGCCCAGCTGAGGGTGGGGAGGACGGTTGAGCCTCCGGTAAGGTGGGTGGTGGGACTCCACCTATCACTTTGCTCCCCGATGAAGCCCAGCGACCTTGGGTTTGGCGAGGGCGGTGGGGAGGAGCTGAGCGCTGCTATCTCCTTGGTCCCCGCTTACCACTCACTCTGAGTGACCCTGGACAAATAAGTAACTGTGTGTCTTTGGGCTTGGACTGGCTCATGTAAAATGTAAAACGGAGGTCATCCTCTTGGTCTGCCTGGGGTGGCTGTGGGTATCAGGGTACAGAGAGGGCTCCAGAGGCGGAAGGGATCACTGCACTTGTGTGTGTGTGTGTGTGTGTGTGTGTGTGTGTGTGTGTGTGTGTGTTCCTTGTCTCTGGCTTCTGCTTTTGCAGCCCTCACCCTAGGCACCCCCTTTCTCCGCTGGGTCAGCTGTGATGGCTGTGCCCCATGGGGCCTGGACACAGAGGGTGGTCTGGGATCTGCAGATCCAGAGCTGTCCTCTCCAGGGGCACTGAGAGAGGGAGGGGGCCGATAAGACAGCTTCAGGAGCCGGCGGGGAATGGGAGCTGGTTTGTGTAACCCTCACCTCATACTCGGTCCCTTCCAGCTTGTCCAACAATCAACTTGGCGAGGAGGGCACCCAAGTGCTGATGAGGGTCCTGGAGGGCAAGTCCCAGCTGAAGAGGCTGGAGTAAGTGGAGGTGGTGGTGAAGGGGGGAGGTGGGGAGGGGTCAGGAGTGCGCCCAGGAACCTCTCCAGCCCCTGCGAACACAAACTGTGAAATCCCTGGATGGAAGCAGGTGAATGCCCTCCCTTTTACCCCCTCGCCTGGCTCTGGGTGCCATCAAAATGCTTGATTGCCAGAAACAGAAAACTCGCTCAAACCAACCCAAGCCAGAAAGGGGATGGATCCTTGCTGCCCAGACCCCTCTCCCCGTTTCAGATGGGTCATTTCCGAGGCTCTCCTCCCTGACAGGCAGCTTTCCTTGAGCTCCCCAGCTAGCTGATTTCTTCCACCTGTCCATCTGTGGCCAAGTGACTCGGGGCACAGACCCTGGTTAGAAGCCACCCCACATGGGTGCAGCTCTCGGTAGGGTGACCGTCCATCCCAGTTTGCCCAGAGCTGAAAGTCCCGCATCCTGGAGCCCCCCTCAAATCTAGGCAAGCCAGACCCAAAAAACCAGCTAGGCTGAAATAAAAAATGCTATAACTGAGATGCAGTACCAACTGGATACAGTCACAACGGGGACTGAAGAAGCAGAGGGGAGCGTAGGTGATGTAGGAGATAAAATTATGGGGGAGAAATGAAGCAGAAAAAAAGAGGGAGAAGAAATTACTAGATCACAAGGAGAGACTTAGAGACCTTAGTCATTCCATAAAATGAAACAATCCCTGCATCATAAGAATCTCAGAAGAGCAGGGAGAAAGGGGCAGGAGTTTTAGCTGAACAAATTGTAGCTGAGAACATCCCCAGTCTGGGGAAGGAAACAGGCATTCATGTCCAAGAGGCACAGAGAATGCCCATTAAAATCAACAAAAACAGGTCAACACCACGACATACAATAGCGAGTTTTGCAAAATACAAACATAAATTCTATGCAAACCAGGACACCTTTTGCTTCCACCTCTGAATGTGTGAGGCTGGGCAAGTTACTTAACTTCTCTGTGCTTTTCTCCCCATCCTGACTTTGGAGATAACAGCTGTACCTACCTCCATGGACTGTTGTAAGGATTAAATGAGATGATACATACATATAAGTCCTTAGAACAGAGCCTGGCACACAGTTCACACTACAAGTACTGACTATTACTACTACTACTACTACTACTACTACTACTACTACTACTACTGATACTACTATTATTATTCCTCTCTCTGCCCAGATGGGGAATCTTAAGGAGTGTGATCTCATGGGTAACACGTAGTTGGGGTCTAGGAATGGGAGTCCTATAGCCTTGGCTTCTGTTCCCAACACTTCTACTTTCTGTGTGTGGCCTTGAACAAGTTTTCTAATGCCCTGAGCCTCAATATGCCTCATCTGTAAAAGGGGGATGACGAGTCCCACCGCTCGGGATGGCCCTGAGCTCAGTGCTCAGTCTCTAATATATGCTTGGTAATTATGCTCAGTAATAGCATGCTACTATATAGTAGTTGCTCCAGTTCCTGGTCAACAGGGTCCAGTGTGACTGGGAACATACAGAACTGCCGCCTGGATGGCCCTAATTCACACAGAGAAACAGCCTTGGGATTTCCCGTGCTGTTTTGTTTTGTGCAATGTGTTTCCTCGGTGTGGATGCACGTGGCTATCTTGGGGGTCCCTGAGCACTGCTGAGCACCAAGGCCTCAAGCCCCCCAGTGGACAGGGCCTCAGTCCACCCCTGGGACCCACCCTCAGCCATGCCAAGGCCCCCTCTGGCTTCCTGTCTTCCAGCCTCAGCCATCTCCCACTGGGCGGCTCCAGCCTGGCCATGCTCACCCAAGGACTGAGCCACAGGACCCTCCTGCAGAGCCTCCGGTGAGTGACCAAGCGAGCCCATGGGAGTGACGGGGAGGGCGTGCTCCCTGGCGCCGTCGGGACCACCCGCCCAGGGAAGCACTAGGGCGACTTCCCTGAGGACTCTCCATGCCTCCTCTCCTGGGGCATCGCCGCCTTCCCAGGTCGGGGCCCACTGCTATGGCCTTTGAATGCCACCAGCTTCCTCCTGGCTACAGAAGTGACCTGAAGGGCTCAGGCCCAAGTCCCGGAACGACCTTAATGTGCACAAATTCACCCAATGCGTCAGGGTTGCCTAGATTCTGCATTTCTGACAAGCTCCCAAGGAATACCAATTCTGGGGGCCACAGACCACACACTTGGAGTCATGAGGGCCTAAACTCAGATCTGGTGACTTTGACATTCTTCCCTTGGGCCCCCGGCCACCTTGATTAGCAGATATAACACATCCTTTTCATGTGATTTTTCAAAATATGAACTGAGGTGGCTAAAAACAAACCCCAGCTGGGGCGCCTGGGTGGCTCAGTTAGTTGGGCGTCCGACTTCGGCTCAGGTCATGATCTCATGGTTCATGGGTTTGAGTCCTGCATCGGGCTCTGTGCTGACAGCTCAGAGTCTGGAGCCTGTCTTCGGATTCTGTGTCTCCCTCTCTGACCCTCCCTTGCTCGCTCTGTCTCTCTCTCTCTTTCTCTCTCAGAAATAAATAAAAACATTTTTTAAAAAATAAAAAATAAAAACAAACCCCAGCCACAGCACAAAGCATTGCTTTGTTTTTACCCCAGTCTCCACCCCCGATGCTAGCAGCGCGGCGTGGGCGGCAAACGTGTGGTCACAGAGTTCTGGGAAGCATATCAGATGAGACTAGGTCACTGCATCCAGAATTAACTTCTAGAAAGGCACTTCACTGAAGTTGATTTTGTGAGGTGAAAGGAAACAAAACAGTCTTCAAAGACTCAACATGGGGCCAAGACAGTTTGCCTCCACTGTTGTGTTGTGTTTTATTTTGTTTTTCCCCACTCATGGAGGCAGGGCAAGGTCAGGGTGCAGAAAAGACAGTAAGCTGGCTTTATAGAAAAGCCCGGCATCTGCATAGATTAGAACATCTATGCCCTGGAGAAAGGATTTGCCTGAATTACAGAATCCGTGTGAACTTGGCATTCAGCCGGGCTGGAGATGCCTGGCACAGAGGCTGAGGCAAAGCCCGGCCCAACCAAAGAACGTGGCTACTGCCCAGGCAGGGGGCTCTGAGCTTTCGTTTCCTCTTTGCCTGGGAGTCCTTAGGAGACTTTGGCCAGTCACGGCTCCTCCCTGGTCCTCCGTTTTCTCATCTGGACTTTGGGTACAGTCATGCCCACCTCACCTGTTCCCCTCCCCAACTCCTGCAGTTTAGTGACCGGCAGATGGGATCCTGGATGTGTAAAAGCTTTGCAAACTGTAGAGTTCTGAGCGCAGCACCTGCAAAGGCCTCCCTACTAAGGCCTCTGCTTCTCCAGTCTGAGCAGGAGCGGTGTTTGTGATGTCAGCTGCCACTAGCCTTCCAAGGCTCTCAGAGCTGCTGGCAGCTTGGAGGAGCTGGAATGAGTTGACTGTCCCCCCCCCCACCCAAGACAGCTTCAGCAGGGTCACGTGGTACAAGCAAGAGGCTCCCTGAGTACACTCCTCCCTTTCTAGTCCCATCACCTCCACCCACTTCCCCCCTGCATGAGCGCCGGCCGGGACCACCAGGAGACCCCGAGATGGGGTGTGAGAGTGTGGATTGCAGCAGGAGGGATTCAGGCCAGACAGCGGGGAGGACATCCTAAACAGAAGACAGGAGTTGGGAGCCCTCACCTAACACAGAGTGAGGGGCAATCTTGGTGTGAGCCGAGGCCTCTCTCTCTCCAGATGTCGGCCTCCTCTTCTGTCCTGGGGCAGGGGGGGCGGGGGCGCGGGGCAGGGGGAGGGGGAGGGGGTGGGCCAAATGGCACGGGTGGTGGGCTGCCGGCTTCAGTTCGCCTCCTGTTCTCTCCCCAAGCTTGAGCCACAACCAGATTGGAGACACCGGAGCCCAGCACTTAGCGGCCGTCTTGCCGGGCTTGCCCGAGCTCAGGAAGATAGAGTGAGTGGCCGGTCCTGCTGACGGGGGCCCTCAGTGGCCACACCACGGGTGGGGTGGACACTGGCCCTGCCTCAGGCTGACGTCCCTCCCCCAGACTCAGTGTGCAAGTGGTGGGGCTGGGCCACCCCCTGGCCTTGCCAACTTCCAGACCTTCAGGCAGCCCAGGCACTGCCCCTCTTTGGTCCTTTGTGCCCCCGTCAGGCTGGGAAGGTGTGTGGCGGGGACACTGAGTCTTGGAGCCCTGGCAGATGGGGTGGGGCGGGGGCACATGGGGTGGCCAAGAGTCTAACGTCTGCCCTGCCCTCAGCCTCTCAGGAAATGGCATTGGCCCGGCCGGGGGAGCACGGTTGGCAGAGTCTCTCGCCCTCTGCAAGCACTTGGAGGAGCTGATGTGAGTGTGAGCTCCGGTGGCTGCCCTCTGCCCTGTGTGTCCCCCCCAGGGGCCCAGGGCAGTACAGGGTCCAGCTTGGGCCAGCCCCATGATCAGCCTCCCCCCTCTCCTCTCGCAGGCTTGGCTGCAATGCCCTGGGGGACAGCACGGCCCTGGAGCTGGCCCAGGGACTGCCCCAGCACCTGAGAGCCCTGCAGTGAGTGTCTCTCTGCCTGGGGCTTATGCAGGGCTAGCAGGGAGGGGCTCCTGGGGCCACCCGTCAGCACCCTGCCCCCTCCCTCCCTGCCTCTGGGGCCTGGGTCAGGGCCGTCAGGAGACACAGCCCAGTCCTGGGGTGCCGCCAGCCCCGTAGAGGCCCTTGGCCTAGCCACTACCCTTTCTGAGTCTCAGTTTCCTTGTCTGCAAAAGAAGTACAGTAGTCTCAGCTCTGAGCCAGTCTGTGAGGGTGAGTAAGGACGTGGCGGCAAAGGCCTATGCAGGCAAAAAACTCCAGTTCATGCCCGCGGTCTCGTTAGAGCCCCACAGAGCCCCGCGGCTGAGATTTCTATTCGCTCCGTTTTCCAGGCAAGGGAACTAAAGCCAAGAGAGGCATGGAGAGCTTATGTTACTTATACAGGAAAGAGCCAGGCCTTGAACTTGGGATTCAGACCCCAAACCAGGGCCCTTGATCCCCACCCAGGTGCTGTGCGGATGGGAAGGCGGTCGGGGGTGGCAGGTGCCCAAAGACAGTGTAAGGCCTGATGGTGCGGCCGGAAACAACGCTGAGTGTGGGGGGTCTGGGAAGGCTCCCAATCCCCACACTGGCCCCCCAGGCTCCCCTCACCTCCTTCCCTTTCTCCAGCCTGCCGTCCAGCCGTCTGGGCCCAAAGGGGGCGCTCAGCCTGAGCCAGGCCTTGGATGGATGCCCGTATGTGGAAGAGATCAGGTGAGTGGGGACCATGGGGCCTGGGCAGAGGGCCAGGCCGGGGAGGGTCTGGGGGCTCCTCTCACAGGCATCTCCCTGCCCTACAGCTTGGCAGAGAACAGTCTGGCCAGAGGGTTCCCACAATTCTGTAAGGGGCTCCCACTGCTCAGGCGGATAGAGTAAGTAGCCTCTCCTTACTCCCTGGGGGGCTGGGGCGGGTGGGGGCAGCCCTTCAAGCCCTTTGATGTGACAGGGGTCTCGGGTAGGGGGTACCTGGAGCAAAAGGGGCACCTTCCTAAGACCCGCACCCTGCCCCGCACTCCTCCTCTCCCTCCTGTTCTGATTGCATGGTGGACAGAGGCTGGAGGTGCCTCCGCCTCAGACACCCTCCATCCCATCCCCTGCTCTGTCCTCAGACTGGTTTCGTGTGAGATTGACGACCACACCGCCAAGCCCCTCGCTGCCAGCCTGCTGCTCTGCCCGGCCCTGGAAGAAATTCTGTGAGTGCTTGCAAGAAGCCTAAGCTGGGAAAAAGCGGGCATCCAGGGGTTTGGCCTGCCTGCCAGTCACTGTACAGCCTGGAGCTGGTCCCTCCCCGCTGGCCGGTCCCCCATCTATAAATGGGGGAGGTCATTCTTGCTAAAACCTCTTCTCAAGGAAGTGGTTACACTTGGGCTGTGAGTGATGTTGGGCCAATTCATTCAGCCTCTCTTGCCTATTTCTCCACCTCTGGAATGGTAGGGGAGGGGCGGGGTGGGGCAGGGAGGTAGGCCAGCTCCTTTCCAAAGGCTCTTTTCCCCTGAACTTCCCTTTGGGAGGCAGCTGGACAGACCACCTCGCCCGGTTTATGGGGCCGCCATAAACAAACACCTGCTGGTAACGACAAATGGCTGAAACCAGCAAGCCCCTGACCTGCCTGCTAGCCATGGCCACCTCCCTCTTGGCAACTGGAGGGGCTCTGACCTTGGGCAGCACTGCCTCGGGGCAAACCGCACTGCCAGGACTAGCCTGAGACCCTGACCACACAATGGATGAAAATGCTGTTTCCTAAAATGCAGGACACAAGTGATTCAAAGACGATTTTAGATTTGCATCTTAAAAGTTTTTTTTATTTAAAAACTTTTTAACACTTATTTATTTTTGAGAGACAGAGAGACAGAGCATGAGCAGGGGAGCAGCAGAGAGAGAGGGAGACACAGAATCAGAAACAGGCTCCAGGCTCTGAGCTGTCATCATAGAGCCCGACGTGGGGCTCTAACCCATGAACCGTGAGATCATGACCTGAGCCGAAGTCGGACGCTCAACCGACTCAGCCACCTAGGTGCCCCGATCTTAAAAGTTTTAATCCTTCTCATTACATGACCCCAAAGACAAAGTGTCAGATCAGTGCTAAGGCTTCTTTTTAACACCTAACAGTGGTGATTCTCCCTTATTTATTTATTTTACTTAATAAGTCAAAAAATATTGTTTATGACCACGAAGCAGATACTTATTTCATACCAAAGATAAACTGGAGATTAGCCAGTCAGTTAGCCCAGTTGTCATGGTCTTGAAATATTACCGTGCCAGAGAGTAAATTTCTCAGTGTTTCAATTTCCTCGCTTTAGTTTTTCTTCATGAGCTTCCGTTTTTAACCAGCAGGGGGCAGGCCACAGGCTCATCGCCTTAGGAAGGAACGCAGGTTCCCACTAGAAGTTAATACTGTTGCCTGCACGGTGTTTATCCTTATAACTACCTTCTGTTTAGGGTTGTCAACACAGGTTTTCCATGGATAGTAGTGATAAACATTCCCTAGGATTAATTTCTTGAAGTGAGGCAAGCAGGGTGGGGGTGGGGACTGCTTTAAGAAATAAATCACACGAGAATATAATACAGGAGGTGCGTACAGGGCAAACATTATGATGGAGGCACCTGCATGGTGGAAGTTGGGACCATGACCTTGTTGCTGCAGACCGTGTGCTCTGAGGTCTCTGCACAGCCAGCTCCTCAGTTGTCTGGGGCCCTAGGGGATGACCGGTTGGAAACGGGGTTTGGGAGCGGAAGGAACTCCTTGTGCCCCGAAGTCTTCGGGGAGGCCCACAAGCACTCCATCTTGGCCTTCCTTGCACCTGCACAACAGCCCCCCGTCGTTGGCCGCCAGGCCTCCCCACCTGCCACCTCGTCTCCACCCCTCCCTGTTCTCCTGCCACTGACCTCAGGACCCCTACCCTGCAGGCTGTCCTGGAATCTGCTGGGGGACGAGGCGGCGGCCGAGCTGGCGAGGGTCCTGCCGCAGATGGGCCGGCTGAAGAGAATGGAGTATGAGGGGCACATCCTGGGAAGCCAGACCTGGGGGAGGGGGCGAAGGGGAGCCTGTGTCCTGGGCTCCGGCCCCTGCCTGCGAGAAAGTTGGCACTCTGCTCCAAGCCCATGCAGACTTTAACTCTCCCTGGGTCCCCGCCTCCGGCTTTCCCGCTGCCCTGTTGTCTGTTGGGTTCTGTAAGCACCTTGCCCTGGGGTGGGGGGAGGGGATATAGGGAAGCCCATCCCCCACACTGATGCCGGTTTCTCTCTTTCCCTTTTCTCTGCTATCTACTGGGAAGCCTGGAAAAGAATCGGATCACAGCTTGTGGGGCCCAGCTTCTGGCTGAAGGGTTGGCACAAGGCTCTGGCATCCAAGTCATTCGGTAACAAGGGCTCACAGGGGTAGCGATGGTGGGCGGGAGGCCACACCAACCTCTACAACGTAGGGGGACTCCCTGTGGGAGGAGGCAAGACCTGGGTTGGGGATTATCACAGGAGACTTGGATCACTCCACCAGGAATTAGACAGCAAGCAGACCTGGATCAAATCCCAGCTCTGCCCTTTGCCAGTTATGTAACTTTGTGTCAGTAACTCAACCTCTCTTAACTTCAGTTTTCCCCATCTGTAAAATGAGGTCAGTGATAGTATTTACCTCAGAAAGTTGCTATGAGGACTAAACGATTCTATAAAGCACTGAGCACAATGCCTAGCACGTAGTAAGCACTTAAGATTATATCATCAGAGCCACCACATACGGTTGTAAAGGCTGTGCACTGCACAAGGGCATTGCCACTAAGGGACGTCGTTTATATAGTAGACATTTTGGATTTCTAGTTAATGGTAGCGAAGTGTCTTGTTCTATAGAAATCCATATCTTATGACAGTTTCAAATGATGGAAGTAAAGTGTCTTGAAGAAGGGTAGTTTTCCCTTATTTGCAAAAATGTGCCATATAAGCATGGTCCTGGCTGGGATCACTAGCTCCCTGAGATGAAGACCAAGTGGGAGAAGTCAGGAGGTGGGTGTGGAGGACACATGCTGGTCTAACAACCACTTCTGCCAGGGAGCTCTGGGCGTGGCCCTCCCCCTTTGGGCCTGGGTCTCCCCATCTGTAGATAAAACAGGGGACAGAGACAAGAGAATGCTCGAGCAAGTCCGACACCTGAGTGCCCGTCTCTGTGCCCGCAGCCTCTGGAACAACCGCATTCCCCCTGACACGGTCCGGCGTCTGCAGAGCCAGGAGCCCAGGCTGGACTTTGCTTTCTTTGACAAGCAGCCGAAAGCCCCTTGGGGTACTTGATGGCCCTCTCGAGAGCCTTCGAATGCAGCCAAGTGAAGCCAGCTTCCACCCACCAGGACCGAGGGCTCAGGCGAAGAGCCACAGCGGGTCCCCTGTGTGCAGCCCTAGGAGGGCGGGGCATTTTTGTCTTCAGGAAGGGACCAGAAGCCTAGAATGGCCAATAGACTCCCCTGCATCACGTGTGATAGGCATGGCCAGTTGGGGACATGTCGCACAATGAGAGTGTCATGATGTGATGCATGGCGGAGAAGTCACCCACGGCAGAATTCCACACTACGTTACACAGAGCTTGCGGTGTGGCCTCTGGGTCACTGTCGTGGGTCCTAGCACCGCATATGGCATGACAAGTGATTTGTGGTTCATATATGACACGTGACAAATGCTTATATCGTATAGTATGTGCTAGCCAGATACCCCCAGCCTAGTTCAAAATCTAATTTATTACTTTTGAAAGCCAGGGAAGTATTTATATATTGCCTTTCTGGAGCATCTAAGCTAGGAAATGTCCCCCACTCAGGACCGGGGATGGGGAGAGAGTATCCAAGCACTGACCAGTCCAGTGGCCTGAGAACTGAGCCAGGGACTCAGCCATGAGGCTTTTGGGTGAGTCCCCTCCTGCCTCAAGGCCCAGTTTCCCATCTCGTAAATGGGATGACACCTTCCTCCTAAACGCTGGCTTCCAAGGACTTTGGGAGCAGGGTGAGGTACAGTCCTTGGGAATGACCAGGCCCCCTCTGACCTACGTAAGGGGGGAAACTGGGTCTAAGGGTGTGGGGATAGGCACTACCAAGATATTCAGGCAAGGCCACTGGGTCCAGCCACTACCTCAGCAGGACCCAGGGGAGTTTCCGGGACCTGTACGTGCCACATAACATTCTTGTTACTTCCAAGGATGGCTCTGCTACACTCTAAGCCAAAGTTGACCAATAAATGTGGATGGTGTTGCAGCCTCTACCCTGAGTCCGATGTGTCCTAATAACTCACCAAGGTCAGAAGTGGTTCACCCCCGACCCCAGGGACTGGAGAGCAGGACAGACCACAGAGAGGTGAACTGAGAGGAGCACTGGCCTGGGAGTCAGGAGACATGGTGTCAACTCCAGACTCTGTCCCCATACGGTCACAGGCTCGCGGGTAGGTTGCCTTCTCTCTCCAGACTCATCTGTGCCATGCGGGTATTATAGAAGCTCAAAGTGTCAGAAGCATCCTTTGTTTGACGTGCATTATATTTAAACTCTTTTCTGAATCAACTGTCAGTCTTTAAAATTGGGAACTTTTACAGGAAAATCCAGATTTTCAGCTTTTGTCCAGTGTTGGTCCCACATTCTCACTCAAGAATATCCGTGGAGTCATATGACCATGCCCTTTCACTATGGCACACACCTCTCAGTTTGCCACAGTCCCTGCCACTCTCTAATGTATCACCCATCCCTTTTGCTGCTTGCCAGGCGGTGCTTGTGAGAGCCTGGTATTTCCTGGGCTAGCAGTGTCCTAGGTGGGTGGTACATAAAAAAAGCATTGCTTTGGAAGTCAGACAGGCATGGAACGGACTGTGACCTGACTCCTTGATGCTGGTCTTTGAAGACAGGAACTATTTCTGGACAAGGGTAAGTAACACCCCCTGGCCCGCAGGACCTTTGGAGGCATCCAGGAAGCACAGTATACGATGTCCCTGGTAGGCAGTGGGTAATGATTTATTGCTAGTTCCCTTCTCCTTTTAGAGTTGAATACATATGAGGTGAAGAGATGCTTGAAATGACAGAAGAACTGCACCCACTCTCCGTCATCTGCCTGTGGGCTGAAAAAATTGATCGCAGGGGAGCCTTCCCCCAGAGCTGCACCCCATTCTGAAAAGCAGGCAGGCAGGGTGCAGTTACTGCCTAGCACCACTAGAGGGCAGGTTGGCCCACTGGTGATTCCTGAGATTACTTCGCTCTTGGACCCAGAATAAAGAGGTGATGCTAGGGGCCTGTCCCACCTGGCCAAAGACACTGGGATACTGTGCGTGCTAGTGTTTTACATGGATGGTTCACCCCTGACCTTTGCCGCTCTCCACGTTTCCTCCGGCCCCCCGCCAAGCACGAGGAGAAAGTCCTCCGGCCAAGTGCCAAGCACCCACACCCCGCACAAGGACACTCTTATCGGGCTAGGATCAGGGCACACCTGGCACCGAATGGGGCCATCATCCCGGTCATGGGGGAGGGGATGGGCAGGCAGAGGTTCTAACAAGTTTACCCAGAAAACTTGAACTCCAAATGCTCTCTCCCCTCCCTGGGAAATGATGCCAAGTTGACTCTGGACCCTCAGAATGCACCTTCATACCAAAGGGCAGGGGTTGTAGTGTCTTCTCTCTTTGCCTGAAAGTGGAGTATGAGTCCCTCAAAGCCTGAAGGTGACTTGCCCAGGAAGTCAGTGCCAAGGAAGGAACAGGGCAGCCACCAGAAGCTCCAGGCCTGACGAAATGCACACCAGGAGAGCCCAGAGCTCAGGGGTGCTCTCCATTTGCTGCCTATTCATTTTGCGTTTTCCTTCTGTCCCTTTCAGCTCTGGCCAAGTTCTAAACCCCAAGAAGCTTTCAGCAGCTGCCCTGAGATAAACCGTATGTTCCCGCTACGGGCGGTGTGTGGGCACCTTGTTCCTTTTCTTAATCTTCCCCTCTAGCCGCCTGCCTGCTGGAGCCCTGGACTATCTTTCTACCCAACACTGACGAGGCCCCGTCTCCCTGCCCCCTGCCTCTGAACAGTAGGCTGTTTAAATACACACATGAAACAGACAATTCAAAGACAGGTGAGGCTGTGGCCAAGTAAGGAAGGTAATGAACATGGCGCTCCCGGTTTCTGTGCGTGAGTCTTCCCCCACAAGAATGTGCGCCGGCTGGTAGACAGACCCACGTCTGTCTGCAAGGCTGGGTGAAGCTCATTTTGCTACTTTGTCCCTTGGCCTCCGTCCTATGGTCTTACAGATTGAACATCCACCTTTCTGATGGACGTTCAGAACCGCCCTTTCTGTCCCTACAGGCCTCAAATCCTCCCCATATGCCCATTCTGTCCTGGCCCCAAACACACACATCTGAAATCCACTGTCCAGGCCACTACATCTCGAGCTATAAAATCACAGTCATGGAAATTGTAATGTGCGTCGAATCATCTGGAGATCTTGTTAACAAGCAGATTCTGGTTCAGCAGGTGTTGGGCAGGGTCTAGGATGCTGCAGTTCTAAAAAGCCCCCAAAAGCTCTGTGCTCTTAGCCTGGAGCCTGCTTGAGATTCTCTCTCTCTCTCTCTCTCTCTCTCTCTCTCAAAATAAAATAAACCCTGAAAAAAACCCAGTATTTAGAAAGCTCCCTAGGCAATGCTAATCTGCAGAAGTGGGTGTGGAAGGGACTAGACAAGACTTTGTACCTAGGCCCCTTCTTTTGTCCCAAGGGCCCTCTCTTGCCAGACAAGGACACCGAGACCCAGAGATTTTTCCTGACTTGTCCAAAGGCACATAGCTAGTAAGTGGTAGCACCGGAAATCAAACCTGTGATTCATGACCCTTTTCCCCCTCTCCTGTTTCAGTGAGATACAGCTGCACACAGTATGAGTGTGAGCTTGTAGGCTAAGGACTCGACTTGCATACCTTGTGAAATGATCATCACAATAAGTTTATTTAACATCCAGGATCTCATATAGTTACCAAAAAAAAAAAAAAAAACAACTGAGAAAGAAAACTATAGTTTTTTTCCTTGAGATGAAAGCTCATAGCAGCCACCCCCTTAACCACCTTCAAATTTTGGGACTCAGCCCCACAGATGCAGCTCCAGTTTCCCCAACTGTACTGTGGAGGGATGAGCAAATGGAGCCAAGGCGCAAAGACCTACATTCACGAGCTCTGCAAAGGTGACCTGATGGTTAATTCTCCCTCTGGGAGGGTTCTGAACCCTCTGTCACCTGCCTTACTTGGTTATTGTCCTTTTAGGGTTTCCACCATCCACAACCCCCTCTAGACCCAAAGCCATAATCTCAGCAACAAGCTACCCTGTTTTACAAAGGAGAAAATGGGGGCCCAGAGAGGAGCCCGACTTGCCAAGGTCACACAGCGAGTATCCAAGGGAGCTTCAGTTCCAATCGTGGGACAAGAAGGAAGTTGAGGTGGTCCTGGCTGGGGACTTAACTAGTCTACAGGTCCGCGTGTTCCTCAGAGGGCACCCCCCGCCACCCACACCCCAAGTCTGGAGGGCTGTGCATTCTACCTGGTGCTATTTCTGCCCCAATCCCCTCCCGTGGCCAAGGCCAGGCCAGAGGGTGGTGACACCCCAGCCAGAGCTGGACACACCCTCTGGACACATCCAGAGCTTCCTGGGAAAGATCTTACAGTGGCTGCTTTGGTAAAGCTCCTCCCAGGGCTGGTCTCAGGAAGTTCCGGGGACAGCTGGTTTTCCTGCTGCACCCCCCCCCCGGCAGCCACCCTGGTGAAGCACCCTGCCTCCACCCCGTGTGTCCCCCAGCTTCCAAAGCTGGCATCCTCCCTGGCCCTGGCCCCTTGGAAACCACACCTTGCTGTTCATCCCACAAAACTCCAGCCCTGCCCGGGCTGCCCAGAAAGTGACCTTTCCCCTAAGGAGGAGGCCACCAAAAAGGGGTTTTCACTTGAGAACAAATGCCACCTGAGGTCCCCAGGTTGAGTGCTTAGGACAGAAGCATCAGTTTCCCCAGCTGCTCCTGTGGCCCCCACCCCTACACAAATATTTCAGTGCAAAGTTGGACCCGATGGAGGTTCCTGGGGATGGCTGGAAGGGCAGGGGAGCCCAGGCATCCTGCCCCAAGAAGGGGCACCCCTGCCTTACCGTGACCACAGCCCTGGAACCCTAAAATAGCCAGAACAGTGCACCAGCCCTGGTGTCTAAGCCTGCTTGGTGCTGTGCTAACCACATCAGGGTCTCACTGAATTCCCACAAGCACCCCAAGAAGCAGATACAAGTTTATCACTCCATTTTACAGAGGTGGAAACTGAGGCCCAGAAGACTGAGTGGTCTCCCCCAGGCAATACCCGGAGCGGCTGGCTGCAAACCCAGAGCTGGGGCTCTGCCTGAAGCCTGGTGCTGGTGTCAGGCTTGGGACTCCTGAGGGGTGTCTCCATCATGAATATGTCTCCATATCAACTCCCTGTGGCAGATGTATTTTCCAAAGATGGCCACCACAAGTCCTCCCATCCCACATGCTCTCCCTGCAGTGACAGTGACAGTCCTCTCACGGAGAGGCGGGTCCATGGGGGGAGCTGGTGACTCGGGCCGAAGTGACACTATGTGACTTCCAAGGCTAGCTTCTGCAAAAGAGAACAAGGCATCCACCTGGTTCCCCTGCGATGCGCGCCTTGGGAGCCCAGCTGCACTATTACGTGGAAGTTCAGGCCACATGGAATGGTCATGGGTAGGTGTTCCGGTTGACAATTCCAGCTGAGGTCCCGGCTGACACCCGGCGTCAGTTGCCAGACATGCCTTCTAGATAACTCCAGCCCCTGTCATGTCTGACTGCAACTTAGTCATTTTTTAGTCATTTGAGAAATCCTAAGCAAGAACCACCTCCGCTGAGCCCAGGTGGCCCCCCAGGGCCATGAGAGATCATAAAGTTTGGGGTGATTTGTGATGCAGCATAAATAACTGGGACCCCTTCCATCCTCTATCCCCTCACGCATCTCTGAGGCCAGCCAGGGCCTGGTACCCAGGCAGTACCTTCACGGCTCTGTAATTTACAAGCACACTGAAGGGTACAGGCGACCCTGGTTATTCTGATCTGTTTGTCCCAACAGCCCAGACTGGAAATAAATGCCGAGACGGCAGGTGTTTTACACACTTCGCCCATTTGGGGAAATTGATGCTTGTGCAGTGAGGTCTCTACCAGGGCAAGGAAAGATGTCCTCCAACATTTTGCTCTAACAGCTTTACGTTTTGTGTGTGGATCACGGCTAGAGGGTAAGACACTCGGCCTTAATTGACCTCTGGCCTCTTCTTTTTTAAAAAAATGCTTATTTATTTTTGGCGGGAGGGGCAGAGAGCGAGGGAGACAAAGGATCTGAAGCAGGCTCTGCGCTGACAGCAGCGAGCCCGATGCGAGGCTTGAACTCACGAACCCCATGAGATCATGACATGAGCCGAAGTCCAATGTTTAACTGACTGAGCCACCCAGGTGCCCTGACCTCTGGCTTCTCCTCATCCCTGACTTTCTTTTAGACAGCTTTATTGAGATATAACATTCACCCCTGTAAGGTACACAAGTGAATGGTTTGCGTGTACCTAGTTATGCAACTAGCACTATAATTTCAGAACATTTTTAAACCCCCCCCCCAAGAAATCCCACAGGAATAGCAAGTACTCCTCAATCTCTCTTCCCAGGCCTAGAGAGCCACCAGGCTGCCTTCTGTCTCTGTGGATTTGTCTAGTGTGGACATTTCATATAAATGGAATCGTACAATATGTGATCTTTGATGACTGGCTGCTTTCACCTACCATGTTTCCAAAGTCTGTGCATAGTGCGCGTACACCTTTCTATGGCTGAATAATATTCCATTGTATGGATGGGCCACATTTTGTTTATCCATTCATCGGTTAATGGGCATTTGAGTCATCTCCACTTTTTGGCTATTCTGAACAGTGCTGCAATGAACCTTTATGTACGAGTTTTTGCACGGACATATGCTTTCATTTCCCTTGGGTAGATACCTAGGAGTGGAATTGCTCTGATCCCTGGCCTTTGTATTCTATCCATTTGGCGAGGGAGCCAGTATCTTTTTTGCCCAGGGTAGGACCACCTACCTCATCCTTCAGGGCTTCTAGAAGAAGCCCGATTTCCATGGCTGAAATCTGTGTCACCCTACCTCCAACCTTTGCACTTTTCACACAATAATACGATTGCCATTTCAGGGGAGGGGCTCTGCTTGGGTTCACCACTGTCCATCCCAGTGCCTGCCTCTCCTGCAGCTCTGGGGCAAAGAGAGGAAAGGGAATCTGGGGGCCACATCAATCAGGAAAGGCTTCCTGGGGGAGGTGGGGCTGGAGCTTGGTCTAAGAATGTCTGTAGACTGCCCCACAGCTGGGCTGAGGGCTTTGAGTACTTTGGTGGAAGAAAGATGAGGAGAGCTTGGAGAAAGGAAGGATGGATGGGGGGACAGGGAGGCAGAGAACAAAAACTCAGAGCCCTGGGGTTTTTTGGTGGCAGCCCCTCTAAGGCTGCAAAGTGTCTGTGACTCAGACTGGAGGGAGGTTCACAGGCTGCAGCTCCAGTCTCCTAGTTAACCCTCTCCTATCTCGAATGGAAAACCCACAACCCAAATGCAATGCATTAACTCTCAATCGCCCGGTCCTTGAGCTGCAGGGCCAAGGGCTTTGGACATGGCCGTGAGGTCTCCCACAATCTGGCTAAATGAGCCTCAGCTGCCTGAGACACTGACCGGGGAATGTGGGGGGTGTGCACATAAATACCGCTGAGTGGCCTGCAGCAGGAGCTCCGGGAGACAGATGCATTTCTTAGGAATTGGTGCTTCTAAGGAAAAGATGGCCTTCGCAGAAAGGGGGCTTGGTGCCAGGGCCTCAAGGCCCCCCTTAATTATGCTTCCGCTAACTAGCCCCAGGCACTGTTCAAACTCTTTATCTTATCCTCTCTGTAAGAGAAATATGTGTCATCTTCCCTGTGCCTGGCGACAAGAAAATGCCGAGCTCTTTTACTGAGGGGCGGGGGAGACGACACTGCGGTCCTGGTGCTGCTCAGTACGGCCCAGAACCTAGCCCCGCGGTGTGTCCCCCGAGGGCGCAGCGCGAGGCCCTTGGGGTCGAGGCCGCAGGCGGCGAGCAGGGCCCCCGAAGGCCCCGGGCTGAGCCCACCCCTCGGTTCCCGCGTCCGCGGCCCTGAGCGCAAGGTGCTCGGAACTCGGAGGCGCCCCCGGCCCGGGAGGGTGCGAACCAGAGGCGTTGCGATCAGCGGAGTCCCAGCCTGGAACGTTCCGACCCTCGGATTCCGGCCTCGAGCGTTCGGACCCTCGGGTTCGGGCCCCCGCGGCGCTGAGATCCCGGAGCGCCAGGGCGCGCCGGCCGCGGGCTCGGAGCCGCGGACGGCGGGCGGGACAGCTCCCCCGCTCCGCCCGTGGGGCGCGCTCGCCCCTCCAGGAAGCGCCCGCCTCGCCTCCGCACCCCCGCCCCCTCTCGGCCGGAGGGAGGAGCCCGAGCCGCCGCCGCCGCCGCCGCCGCCGCCCGCCCGCCCGGGAGGAGCACCGGACCCCAGGCGGCTGGGAGCGCACGCGAGCCGGCTAGGGCCGCGCGGGCAGCGCCCTGAGCCCGTCCCGCGCCCGCGGGCCCCGCCAAGCAGAGGAGCGCCCCGGGATGCCCCGGCGGCCCGGAGCGCGGGCAGCGGCAGCGGCGACCGCGCAGTGAGGGCGGCGGCGCCCGCGGGACCCGTGGTGAGTGGGGCCCGGCGGGCCAGGGGCGGGCCAGGGGCGGGCGGGGCGCCCTGGCGCGAGCGCTAAGTTCGGCCTTTGGGCTCGGCGTCTGGCGCCGGCGCCGGGTTGGAAGGAAGCCGGGTTCCGCCCCCGGGGCCGTGACACCCCAAGCCCCCCGCCACCCGCGCGCACCAGGATCCGGCCTTTGGGTGACTCAGCTGCGACCCGGCCACGCGGGGGCGCTCCGGCCGCGCCCGGACCGCCGTGGGGGAAAAGAGGAAAGGGTGCTGGAGGAGGGTGGCGCCCCTCGGCGTCGGAGCCCAGCTGTTTAGGGACTCTCCTACCTCCTGCCTGGAGCCTGGGGGCGTCCGGAAGGTAGAGTCCTCGCCTGCGTCCCAGCCGCCCAAGACTTGAGGTCGGGTTGGGCCCAGGCCCCTGGCCCCCGTAACCTGTAACCTGCTCTCAACCTCCAGTACCGCCTCCACACCCTCCCCACCCGCTCCAGCGTACTGCCCGAGAGCCAGCTCCCAGCCCGGGAAGAGGGAACGGAGGGAGGGCGTGGAGCTGGGCAGCTTCCCAGAAGTCGAAGTGTGTTTGCAAACTAGTTTTTTCGCAAAAGCTGTCTGGCACCTGTGTGCTTAAGGGGGGTGGGGTGGGGGGACATGGGAGAGAGAGCAAGACTCCTTCCTTTCCGTTTCTCGCAGCCCTGTTTTTCGGAGAATAGAGGTGTCTTACTCCCCTCTTCTCATCCCATCCCAGCCCCGCCCTCTACCCCCCGCCCCCTGGACAAGCCCTTTGGGAAGGGGCTCCTTCAAAGGAGACTGTGATTTGCCCACTGTGATGACAAGTGGAACTGGAACCCAGGACTCTGGGAGCCCAGTGAGGTCTCATCCCGCTGTCTGTGATTCTCCCAGCCCTGTTATGCATTTCGGGAAGTGACACCCTCAAGAGATCTGGGAGAATTATGAGCTGCCCTTTGTTTGTCTGCCCTTAGTTTTTGCTTGCCTAGGAGTGTGGGCTGTCACCCATGGGTGGGGGGCTTTTTCTGTTCGTTGGGGGCACCCACAGCTTCAGTAATTGGGGCGGGGGTGGGAATCCCGTTGTAATCTTCAGCAGTTGCCCCCTGTCTGTGGCCAGCTTTGGGACTGGGTCTGAATGCCCACCCAGTGCTGGGCTGGGGGCTGTTCCTCTTCTCTGAGCCTCCTGGTGCTTATCTGTAAAATGGGCTAATTGTCCAGGACCTGTGTGCCTGGAGGCCTGGTGCAAACATAAAGACATTGAGGAGTGGTTTTATTGCAATCCCTCTGGCACTGGGCCCAGTGAGCACGGACACTGCCCCAGGCATGCGGCCGCCGGGGGAGGGGTCATGCAGGCACATTTTTTCCATGGAAAGAGCCAGGGGCTGGGAATGTGGACGCTTGGGTTCTCCTTGCCCTCTGCCACTTCCTGTGTGTGTCCGCCTTGTCACTCACTGGGCTTGGGGCTTTTTCCATCTGTAAGACGAAGTAAACTATGACACATTCCCGTTTCTAGGGCTACTGGGAGGCGGGGACCAGGGGGCGGGGGTTCTGCAAAGTGGGGTGTACTTCATGAGTGGCAAGTGTGGTGTTTCAAGAGACCCCCCCCCGCCCCCCAGGGCCCATGAAAATTAAAATCTCAGGTGCATGACAGCCCCGGGGATAGAGCCTCCGTCTCTATGCCTGTAAAGTAGTGAGAACAATACCCTGTATAGCTTTGTAATCTTTTAGGGTTATTGGGTATTTATTTAAAGGTAGTTGTGAGGATTAAATTAGGTGGCAAAGGGCTCATGTGCCAGCATTATGAATGGTATGGTGGTAAGCACTCCGTGACCGTTAACTGTGAGTGTCCTTATTCCTGGGACTATCCATAAGCCCGGTGCAACTGCATTTAGGATTCCTTCTGGGACTTTCTCAGGCCAGCCTGCTCCTCCCTCTCCCACCTCCCGCCTGGGGAGAGGAGCTTCAGAAGCCAAATGTCAGACTTCTGGACTGTTCAAGGTGCAGAGTCCTGAGTGGGAAGTTTCCACTAAAAACACCGTGAGGGAGGGTAGGTCCGAAAGAGTTCCCATGCCATGCACCTTGGGCTGGCCCCCCAGGGCTCTGAGGAGTGACAGAAAAGAACAACACTGCTATCCGAGCAGGGAGCACTGTGGGCAGGCAAGGCTTCCCTACGGAGAAGCCCCCAGCCCAGGGCCGGGTCCCTTCTGCCTGATGGAAGTCTTCCTCGCTCCCTCCCCCTGTAACCCACACCGGCACTGCTGAAGCAGGGCCAGTCATTTCAAGAACCCAGCCCAGTGCCCTCGTCCCTCACTGGGCCACCCGCGCTCTGCTCCCATGGTGGCGCACGGTGGACTGTGCTGTTCGGTGTTCTGGGGTGGTTTCTCCACTAGCTCTGTCCTCACCTTCTTCCTTCAGGGGCTGAGATGAGGCTAATTAGCTGCCACTTGCTCACTCGCAGGCGTAATTTGTCTCGGGCGTTAGCCACCTTCTAACATTTCTCGTATTTATTCATTTGTGTATCACCTAATTATCTGCCCCTCTTCCCAGAGTGTCAGCCCCTCGAACGGGCGAGGATAGTGTCCATCTTGTCCAGGGCCCTTGCCGTGCACTTAGAGAAGATAAATGACTGGGTCTGCCCCGCATCGTAGCCTCCTGTCCAAGAGCCTGTGATGCTGGCTGATGGAGCCATGAGGAGTCATGAGCTTGCCCTCTTGGGTCTCTGGATGGAGCCCTGCTCTCCGTGCTAAGCGCTGGGAGACCGTCACAGGGCAGCAGCCTTGCTGACGGAGGAGGGAAACGGACTTGTCTGAAGAAGGTGGGATTTGCCTGCACTGGGGGACCCGAGGCTGGAGGAGACGGAGGTGGCCGCTGCTGCCATGGGCTGCCCACTCAGGGGACTGAGGTGTACTGGGGAGATCCCCCATCCCCCATGTGACCTGGGCCACGTCTCTTAACCCCTCTGACCTCCGTTTCCTTGTCTAGGAAATGGGGACTCTTAGACTGCAAGCTGTCCCCACTGCTTTCTCCGTGGGGTCCTTCAGGCAGCTTTGAAAGAGCTCGTAAGCCGAAGAGGGCTGTGCACGGCTGTGATTGCTCTTCCACCTATGGCTTTGGGTCCCACCTTTCATTCATTGTATGGCCACCTGTTGTCACTCGGCAAAGGTTTACTGAGCAGCTCCACTGGGGTCTGGGACTGTGCTGAGGCTGGGGCACAGCTATGGAGCTCCGAGTAGAATTGGGGGGCAGGGACAGAGAGAGGCCTGCAGATGACAAGGAGGCAGGAAGACTTCAGATAGTGGAAACTGCCGCAAAGAGAATAAAGCACGGTGAAGTGAGCGATGGGGGCCTGTGTGTGAGACTCAGGGAGGTCTCTTGAGCAGGTGGTGGTGACATTCGAGCTGCCATGCTAATCTAGGGCCTTGGTCTCTGGTTCATGGCTGTCTCCCAGCCGTGCCTGGTGCCCAGCACGTGCTCAGGGGATACTTTTGAATGAAAGAGGGAGGCGTGCCCCAGACAGAGGAAACAGCACATGCAAAAGCCAAAGCCTTGAGTTGGGAACATGCGTAGTGTATTCCGAGAGCCCATTCTCCTTTTGACCCAGCTCTCCTTCTCCTTTCGGTGGCTCATATGTCTTGTCGGGAGCTGGGGGCAGGACACACGAGAGAGCGTGCTCAGCTCCCGGCAGAAGCTGCCACTCAACCTCTGCCTCCCCTGCTCCCCCGCAATCTTTCCAAGTCACCCAGCGGCCCGGCAGGGAGGGCTGCGCTTTGCAACGTGCACGCAGGGAGCCCAGCTGCCTGGCGTCACGCCCTGGTTTGCCCTGGACCAGCTGGATGACCTTGGGTAGTGTATTCGTTTTCTAGGGATGCCGTAGCAAAAGACTCAAAACTGAATGGCTCAAGGGGTGCCTGGGTGGCTCAGTTGGTTAAACGTCCAGCTTCAGCTCAGGTCATCATCTCACGGTTTGTGGGTTCGAGCCCCGCGTCGGGCTCTGTGCTGACAGCTAGCTCAGAGCCTAGAGCCTGTTTTGGATTCTGTGTCTCCCTCTCTCTCTGACCCTCCCCTGCTCATGCTGTGTGTGTGTCTCTCTCTCAGAAATAAATAAAAAACATTAAAAAAAAAAAAACCTGGATGGCTCAAAAGCACAGAAATATATTCTGTTTTGGAGGCCAGAAGTCCAAGTTCAAGGTGTGGGCAGGGCCATGTTCCTCTAAAGGCTCTAGGGGAGGCATGTTTCCTTGACTCTTCCGGGTTCCCGGGGCTATGCCAGCATCACACTGATCTCTGCCTCCTTCCCTCAGTGTCTTCATACGGTCCCTCTCATAAGGACACCAGTCACATTGGATTAAGAGCCCATCCTACCCCTGTACGACCTCCTCGTAACTAGTCACATCCGCAACTCCTGTATTTCCAGGTGAGATCACATTCTGAGGAATTAGGGGGTTAGGGTTTCAACTTAGCTTTGGGGGGAACATAATTCAACCTCTAACCTCTACATCACTTCTCTGTGCCTGGTTCTCCGATCTGTAAAATGGGGTGCTTATAAGAGGGCACATGTCCTGGGGTTGCAGGGAGGCCTGAGTGGAATGCTGTAATCCTTGGGCCAGGGCCGGGCACAGGCAGTCCATGCTACTGTTTCCTTCTCCTCAGGGAGGACTTCCTGTGAGCTGGGACCCAGAGCCCAAGAGCAGGTGGCGATGTCCGTGACCAGAAGGTCTTGCTGAGAAGACCTTCAGGCTCACTTGCGTGGGCCTGAAGTAGCACCTGCTCTCCGACTCACAGACACCCCTCCCCTCTGTCTGGCTGAGTGGGGGGCAGGGAGCACCCCTTCATTGTGGGGCTGGGTGGCATGAAAGCTACTGGAACTACAAGAAGCCTTTAACAAAGAGGAGGGAGGGCCCCACATGCGGAGGAGTGAGCAAGGGTGCCTCGTCCCCATGTGCAGGAACCCATGAGGGGATTCAGTACGGGGTGAGCCCAGATGACTTTCAGGGTCCATCA